CCCCGCCGCCCCCAGCCCAGCCCGCAGAGCCCCCGGCAGCGTCCCAGGACGGGGCTGATGGAGAAAAACCTCTGCTGGGAGAGACGTGGAGAAAAAACTCTGCTGGGAGAGACGTGGAGAAAAACCTCTGCTGGGAGAGACGTGGACTCTTAAAAAACCTGTGTTAATGGGTAGCTTATTTAGAACGGCCACATGATGATGGTGATGGTGATGATGAAAATGATTACTAATGTTACTGAAGTTTTTGTTTGCTTGTTTGTTTTTCCTTTTTTATTTTTTTTCCTTATTTTCTATTTTTTTAAATCATGCACATGATCTGGCGAGGGAGTTATTGGGATGCAGCCTAATGACCATGAACAGAGCAAGACAGGCTCCGTAATGAAAGCCAGGACTGTAGGCTAAAGAAATGAATCCTCATTAAGAGCAGCTCGCAGGGGCGAGGGGCTGTCCCCCAGGTCCCCAGCCTTTGTTCCCCAGAAACCTGCCCGGATGGGGCGATGCTGGCAGCACTGCTGGGAGGGGAGAGGGAGAGAAAGAAAAGCGACACCGAAACGGACCCAGGAACCTTTTGTTAACCATTTAAAGGGTCACCCAAGGTGGATAACCAGTCCAGCCCCAGTAGTTTTGCACCATCTTCAGCTGGGAACGATGGGTTTTGGGAAGTGCCACGATCCGGTGTGACTGAATTGTCCCTCTTCGGGAAAGGTTCTCGGGGCTCCTTGCTTTGTGCCACCAGGGCCGAGAGACATCAGCTTCAAGGGCTCCATCCCTTTCCCAGCTCTCAGGGAATTTTCTCCACGGCCGGCACCACGACAGGTTTCCCCTTTCCCCGCCGCTCCACAAGAGCTCTACCCCCGGAGCGAGACCCGCAGCGACCGCAGCGGCCCCAGCAGCGACCCCACACCCGTGGGACGCGATGTCCGAAAAAGCCGAGGTTCCTGCCGTGCCCAAGCTCCTGGCTCAGCCCCCGTGTCTTATTAGAGCTGCGGACGAGCCTGGGGGTGAACTCGGCCGTGCCCTCTTCGTTTCGTCCCTTTCCCCCAGTTTTCTTCTTTCCCCCTCTCTCCTCCCATATCACAGAAACACTACTCTTGCATTAACAGCCGGCAATGATAACTACTTTTATTTAGGTGACAGCTTTGACCCTTGCCACAGGTAGCGTGATGAGCTAACCCTGCAGAGACAAACCCACTGGAGAACAAGAAATAAAACTGTACATGAAAAAATATTTATTAAAAATATGACCAGACATCTGTAGCATCTCGATGGCCTGCATGGACACAGGAGTTCTGGGCTCAGGATAGGATATATTCCCCTCTCCTCAGTGCCTTAAAGCAAAAACACGCTGAGCAACATATCTGTACATCTTCGCATCAGCACTTGTCAGCTATCCTGGGTCCTAGAATCTCAGTCACTGGGGGTTATTTATCCAGACGGAGATTTTAAATGCTGCAGAGGTGCGAATACATTTTTAAAGCCCTTGATCGGCATTAAGTAGTGTATTAAAAAATACCCTCGGGAAGAAGAAGCCTCACTTTAAAGTCTCGGTAGGATTGTCAGAGATGTGGGAGTTCATTAAGGGATGCTGACCGGGAGAACCGGATGGCAGGCAGTCCCTCGGGTGGATATTTGGGAAACCAGCCGGGATTTTCCGGCCTTGGATGGGTCTCGGCAGGACCCCGGCTGGTGCCGGGGAGCGCTGCGGGACGGGCGGGGCTGGAGGAGCGGGAGGCTCCCTGTGCTCCCCCCGGCTGGCTCTTACCCCGCTCCCCCGGAGCAGGCGGGGGACGCTCAGCCCGAGGACAGTGCCCGCTGTCGCGGACAGAAAAGGTTACTGGAAATGTCAGCAACCCTCGGGGAGAGGGGAAGGGATTTTCGGGAGCCATCCGGGTGCTTTGATGGAGGACCTCAAGCTCAGGATGCTGGAGTGGGGAAACGACCTGTGTTTCGATGTGTTTCACATGCTTGCCTTGTTATTTTTAAGAGTGCCATAATTGTTGAAATAACAGCTATCAATCGTTTAAATTCTTCCTAAAAATGAAGTTACTTTTAAAGCTGTAAGCTGCTTAATATTAGAATGAGTGGGCAGGTTGGATACTCACTTAAGCTCCTCATACCTGTTGATAACACTGAAGAGTCCCTAAAATGCTGTTGGACAGAAAGAGATTCACCCACTTTCTACTCTCACACCATATATTCATTAAATCTTTGTTCTTCGGTGTATTATTTAGGCTACTTGTCAAAAGAAGTATCAGGCCATGGCTGGTGTATCCGAAGTTAAAATAAAAAAGCACTGAAAACTCAAAATATCTGAATTTTGATATTAGTAAGGAAAGATGTTCCTTTTACAGGCCCCTGGTGAAGGCCATGGCTGCAGACAGAAAGGATATACAGACCAAGATTAATCATTAATTTTCTTTTGGGTGAAACTATGAACCTGGTTTTAAAGTTTCAAATCCTTTGGGATTTGTTTAGCTGCTGCCTTCACCTGCAGATAAATACACACACTGCCAATCTTCTTCAGTGAGATGTTCCCGTACAATCTTCAGTCTGCTTCCATCAGGATTTCACTGAAAATTTCAACAAAAGCTACAAAATCACAAAATATTCAAATAAATAGAATTGTGTTCCTCTCCTCTCCTCTCCTCTCCTCTCCTCTCCCCTTCTCATCTTCTTTTACATTCGAGTCCTTTAAATATTACAACTTCTCCCAGGATGGGGATGAGGGTTGTCACGAAATTTATTTAGCAGAAAGCAGGAATGAGGACAATTCGCGGGTTTGGGGGAGGTGAAGGACCACAGTCAGATACACAGAGGTGTCGAAATATTTCTGAGGCTGCGTCTGGGAGAAATCCCTGGCCTGGGCGCTGGCACTGAGCTGGACTCCAGCATTTCCTGGAGGTGATTTGCTGTGGTTGTAGTCTGCTCAGGAACTGGGGTACCTCTTTTCTTGGGAGGGAGCTCCTCCGCAGCTTTGGGTACCATGTGGGAATCAGGCACCACCCCGGGCTTGGAAACAGGTTTGGGGCCACGGCTGAAGGTGAGCATCTGCCTGGGTTACAGCATTACAGTGTTGCTTCCAGGAGAAAATTTACCCCGGAGCATGTCCTTCATGAGGACAGGAACCTTCTATCCCTTACCCCGATAAATCAGGCAGCGACACTTCCCTGCTTTCTTCTGGCCGGGTGTCTCCAGAGACCTCCCCAGACTCGATCACAGGTGCTGCTAGAGGCACTGGGTGCCCTGTGCTCTCTGCTGGGTTTCCATCAGCTGGAACAGCCGGCCATCAGGACTGGGGGGAGCCGCCAGAACACAGGAGAGGGGCATGAAGCTCAACGAGAGACAGCACCAGGGCCATCCACTACCAGGATGATGGGTTTGGCTGTCTGCCAGCAGTGGGGAGAAGGTTTGGGAGCCTTTTCTGAGCTCTGACTTGACTATGTTTCTTTTCAGAGTAAAGCAACCCATTCATCGCTGATTAGAGATGATACCATGAAAGAGCCCTTCCTTCTTGCCATCCGCTATGAAAGTGGCTGTTTATGGCTTTGGGGTGAGTTGGGGACTTTTTAGAGGGATTCTGCTGGGAAGAGAAAACAAACAAGTCTGAAACAGCGGCATACAAAGCTCCCCTTTCTGCAGCTTCAGAAGGCTTTTTTTTTTTTTTTTTTTTTTTGGTGGGTACAGAGTGATAACCTCGGCTTGGGAGTCCTTATAATAAATAGATGGGTAAAGGAGTTCCTGGGCCTTGCCAAGCCCCGGTGGGAACAGGCCGTAGGGGGAATTAACCGGGAAGTCCCTGCTGGATTTATCCAAAGCCTGTTGAACTGACTGACCACCTTCCGGGTGAACTGGGGTCCTCGGATCTGTGGGAACCTCAGCCTCCCTTGGCACTGCTACTTCAATTACCGGGACACGGCGAGGTGTTAGTGAGCATCATTGAAGTTACCTGCTATTCTGCTGTTAAATTCCCATTTCGAGAAGTTTAGAGGGTCTTTAAGGAATTGCTTAAAGGCAGGATAAAGTTTTGAAGCCATTTCTCCTTGGGAAAACATTGAATGTTTTGGGAAGATGGAGTGGCAAAGGCAGAGCCCCAGGGGCATCTAGGAATTAGAGTGTCCCTAGGGAGCAGGGCAAGGAGGCGGCTCTCACCCTCCGGGACAGGCAGGGAAATAGGTGAGAGATGTTCTTGGAAAGGACAGAGCCTCACCACAGAGCAGAGACCGTAGACAACTGGCTTCCAAAAGAACATTCCTCTTTCCATATCCCTCTCTTTTTTATTCCCCTTCCTCATGTCTGACCTGAAGCCAGGTAGGTCAGCTATTTCTCTTTGAAGCTGAGTTTCTTGTTGGTTGAATTGTTCTGAAAGCAGCATCGCATCTGATTGATGCCTGGGCTGCAGCTGACAGGGAGAATTTTCTGTGTATCTCTCTTCAGTCCCGTTTCTATTTCTCTATCCTTTCTTCTTTCACTGGCAGATTTTTTTGCCCCCCTCTCCAGTTCATACCATACCCTCAATTTATTTCCCTTTGCTTATTGATAATATTAAATCCATCCTCTGCATCAATTTGGAGTAAAAAACAACCAAGTGCGGAGGGAAGCATCATGTTCTAGTTTCTTGCACACCGGGATTGCGCATTTTTGCCTTGTGATTCTGCACTTCCATAAACAAACAAACACACACAATTTTATGAGCACAATCTGTGTTGATTTTGCTCCAGCATCCTTAGCGTGAATCACTGTTCCGGGATGAGAAGGGAGATGTTTTAATGCCTTTTTGAACTATCTGAGGGTCGGGCCCGTGAAGGCTTGAGGGAAGGAGGATTTAGGCTGATTTCCACCTGTTGGTTCAGCAAGACGAGTGGGATCTGAAGGGTTGGATAAAGCACGTTACATTCTACAGCTCCTTATTTTTATGCCACATCCCGAAGCGTTTATGTGTGTAATTAACCCCCAGCAGGTTTCCAGACGATGTCCCGTTCTAGAGGCGCTGCCTCCTCTCCCCGCCCGGCCACCGCCCGCCTGCGCGCTGCCCCCGGTAGATGGAGCATCCTCATCGCTTTTCGCCCGAAGCCCTCAGAAATGTTGGCGTTTCCCTCAGAAATGTTGGTCTTTCCATCAGAAATGTTGGTGTTTCCCTCAGAAATGTTGGTCTTTCCCTCAGAAGTCCTGCAGTTCAGGCAAACGGGTGGTTTGGGGGCACGCGCGGCCCACCGATGTGTCCCTGGGTGAGCGGAGCTCCGCGGCCGCTGGCGATAAGGCCGCCCGGCCGGCGCTGCGTTTGTTCGGCTGGGTGAACGGGCTCAGCTCTTTCTCCCGACCGCCGAAGCTGCTTCGGGCTTGCCCGATTACCCCGACTGCCAGCAGCCCCGGCACGAAGAGCGGTGGGCAGGTGGCACCTGCCGCCCTCCCCGCACCCTTGGCCGGGGCTGAGGTGCCCCGGGACGCGGGGGCTGCCCCGCAGGGCGTGGCCGGCGCTCAGGGGCAGCGCCCGCCGGTCAGCGGGGCTTTGGCCCCTTCATCCTTGGGTGAGTCTCTGGACGGCTCTTCCCTCTTTCCCTTCTGGCAGCGCCCGAGACAATGCGGGGCGTTCTGGTCCCTTTCCCAGTGCTGATGGCTCCCCAAAGGCAGAGGGTCCCGGTCCCGCTCTCCGCCCTGAGAAACTCGGGCCCCGTTTCTCACGCCGCCATTTTGTGGCCCTCCGCAGTCCCTGAGGTGTCCCACAGGATGGAAGTTCCCCCCATCATTTTTTCACTTTGAAAAGTGAAAAATAGTTTTAATTTTTAAATCCCAGGACTTTAGGGAGTAATCTGCAGCAAAAGCCTTTTGTTTGGTATGTGCTGGACTAAGTAAATTGTGGCAATCCAATGGGTGCTTGCTTCAGGTCGGCTCATGGGGTTCAGGTCTTCTCCAGGGTTTCCTGTAACAGTGTGGTAAAAAAAAGACAGAGGACCATAATCAACACGATGAGAGGCACATTTTAATTTTATTTTATCAACAGAAATAAAAAGTCGCAAAATGTAAGGTCTTATATATTTCAAGAAGATTCAAACAACCAGTCCCTTTACAGTCATAAATGGTAATAAATAGCATGGGAAAAGCACAGGTTTGCTCTCAAAAGAACCTCCCTAAAAGGAAAATTATTCATAAGACCCAACTGGAATTAATGCTGTTTCACAGCCTACAGCTGGTAGAATCAAGATGTAGATTTTAAGGAAGATATTTACCTCACAGGTTATGGGTATTTTCCACCTTTTGATGAAGAACCTGGCTGTTGCCAGATGGGTTACTGAGAAGTGGCATTATTAATGTTAGTGCTTTAAAGGCTTGAGACCATGTCAGGCAGTTTGCTTGTGGGTTCTGTACCAATGCAATCTTCTAATAGTTAAAACTTTTTTTTTGCTGTGATCGAATTCTGTAAAATTACATAAATGCCATGCAAAAATGCACAATAATACTTTTCTCCTGGCAGCATTCTGAATAGCCCCGCTAGAAAGAATAGATGCACTCTGAAGCCGGTTTACCCAGGTGCGTGTGTTACATATTTATATTTAACAAAAATATCAGCTTCATAGGAGAGTTTCCTCTGAATCTGGCATCCTGAGTTGGCTGGTGGTTTGATGCTACTTTTCTGCAGTATGTCCAAGAATAAGTCATTGCTACAGTCATATCCTGGAAGACATCAGATGTCAAAAGTTTGTTGCAGACTGGTGTTACCTACTGTTTTTAAAAATCTGCAAACACGGTATATCTTACCAGTGCAATTGAATCTCTCAGCCCTTTCTGCTAGTGACACCTGTATCCTCTTAATTCACAGCACAGAATTGCATTTGACATTTGCACTTACACTACTTCATTTTAACAATACCAGAATAACAAGTATTTTACATATGCATGCTTTCTGAAGCACTATTTTCTGCAACTTTACCCTTTTCATAATTTTGTTGTAAAACTACAGTAAAAGAAAATAAACATTTTAATTCTCTCTACAAAAGTATTAGTACTATTCTATAAAAATATTCAAAAGATAAAATTATTTGTATTTTTATGTGATAATAGTCTCTATCTAATAATATACAGCTATACAGTCTGTCCTATCAATGAACTTTGTTGCAATTTATAAAACAATAAATAAAATTTTTTTGCCCCAATATCTTTTAGTTTTTATGGGAAGGTTCAGAAAATCAGGTAAGAAACACTGTTAAAATGTTTCTAGAGAACAACTTCTTAATACATGTATTTTCTTTTTCATAGTAAGGAATTACTTTGGATTTTTTTTTCCCATGGTGTGAAAGCAAAAATATTCTGCCTTGATCTGTGGCTTGAGATGGCATTTCCCAGTATTTTTCTTAGTATTTTCAGAAGATGTTTTATTTGCTACCGTAAGTGTTTCCAGGCACTAGGAACTAGAATTTCAATCTTTTAAATACATTTGGTAAAACTATTATCTCTTTCTCGGAGTTTTTATCACAGCCTGTGCTAATCCAGTCACTTGGATTAGGTGTTCTGATCCTCCCTTAACTATGAGACAAATTAATTTCTGCCAAACACCCAGCGTTTTAAACGCTGCCTCTGCCCCGTCCCGCTCCCACAGCCTCAGTGCTGCAGGATGTAGCCTTAATGCCAATTTAGTTAAATTCTGCAGTTGTTTTCTGTTCCACTTTATCCTGGATTAGGATCTCATCCTCATCACCAATTTGTCGTGGCTTTGTTTCTCTCCAAGTGTGATGGGGAAGCCACTGTGGGACAGTTAAAGCCCGGACAACTTCACTCACTGTTGATGCACCTGAGCCAACGCGCTGTGTCCAGAGCGTTCTGATGAGCGGTGTTTGCATCCCTTTTAGAGATCACCTCCCATCTCTGTAAAAACTCAAAACTGAATTTCTGCACACAGCAGCACGGAACAAACAGAATAAAGAATTTATAACAATCTGTTTTCCATTTGATGAGAATCCTGTCTTTAAGCACACTTGGCATTCATACACCTTTGATTTAAATGGACTTGGTGGTTGTACAGGAGGAGTGTGCAGGATGCTGAAGGAATTTTTCCATCAGCAGCACTGCAGTCCATAGGCTTAGTAACTAGCTGGGGTTCAGGCTACACATTTTATATATAAACATCTTTCCTTGTGTTCTTCATTGCCTTCTAAGAACATTAAGCCTCTCAAACAGAACTGCTCCAGAAGCAACACTTTACCTAAATTATAAATCTTGTTTTTTCCTAACTGTGGTTTAGACTCTTAGTAGTCCCTTAGCACCATTAGTGAGAAATTTGGTTCCACTAGATAGTAATTCAAATGCAATTAAAACTACATTTCTCCCTTTTATATTAAAATGTGTGGTATTGTCTTGCAATTTTGACTTGTTTATTCTATCAACAAGGCTTTTGACTGTGTAAATCCTTGATTTACTTTTTTCTTTTGAAGTTTAAACAATGAGTGACAAGGTTTTGATCAACTTGGACAAAATTCTGGTCAAGCTTGGTAGGTCATTATATCATACATTTTTTATTAACAATTAGTTATGCACTGCATGCAATGATATTTTTTGCTTTAAACAGTTATATTAACTTCAAATAAATGTATAATATTAAGCTTTTGTTCTTTGCCTACATAATGTTTTGTTAGCTGGGAGGTTGTGGAGAGGGGTCTTGACAGCTATTTAATAGTAAACGTTCTATTTAAATATTTTGCTAAAATAATTGTTAATCAGAGTTTGTGCAATTAATGCTGCATAGCATATGTTTGTTTCACAGCTCCACTCATATATATGTTTATAATGAAGAGTTAATTTTCTTCTTAAGCTTCCCAGATAGAAAAAACTCGCAGTACTAAGAAAGACGTGGATCATCAGATAAATTGTGAGTAGTGATAAATTATCGTTTTATTGGATGCTGAACACTGATTTTGTTTCATTAATCCTGGGACATGTTCTGTGTCTGGGGGGCGGAAGCAGAATAAACAATGGAAGCTGTCCCGTGTCCTGCTCTCACCCTGCCTCATCTTTAGCCATCAATACTTGCTCATTCTCCCCAGCAGACTTTGCTTTTGCTCACGACTTTTAGCTGAGGCTGTTCAGCTGCCTCATGGACAGCCAGTTTCATGCTGCGCCATTTCCTGCTCTGACTCTGCAGCTCCTCACAGTCACTGGCAGCCCTTTGATTCAGCTGTGCTTGCTCAATACATCTGCCACTTGCCTCCCTTTCTTCATGTTTTTTGTTCTTTCCAGATTTGGACCTCTGCCTCACTACATCTTCTCTCTTTCTGTTTTCTTAAAATAATGAAAGTTTTCTCAGTTGCTACTACATACTCAAGCCTGGTTCTTCTTTTTTTGCAATCAAGCAGCTGGTTACTTTATTTGAAATTCAAAACAGTAAACCCAAAGAGAAAGTCTTGCTCTGCACCAATTTTATTCTCCCTCAGGGCTTATAGACAACACAATACTATGGACTTGTGTCTGGACTGATATTTTTTAATCATGCTACTATATGGAATCACTCATGAGAATGTCTGAAGAATAGTTCTCTACCACAAACAATCTGAGAACATCTGTGCTCACCTCTGGTAGTTCATAGGTAGATATTCAAGCACATAACCTCCATATATAAAAAACCCCAAAAAATTCTCGTCTAATTGGTGTTCTTTTTGATTATAACATTCCTAATAATTTTCACTGATGTGTCCAAGCAAGTACTTATTCATTAAGAAGATTATCCCAATTAAATTGAAGCATCTTAAACATGAAAACATCTGTAACACTAAATCTGGCACACCTTGTATTCTGGTTTAACTCTCCAGTCGCACAACTGAACCTTTGAGATGAGGTTTTTCTTAACATTTATGCAGGCTTAGGGTAAATGCTCTTGGGGAAAATCTGAAGGCTGTGTAGTAACATGGCATAGCTGCTTTTGTGTTCAGTTCAGAGATACCTGAATATGTGTAAACACATAGCCAGCACTCAGGCTTTCAGCACTATGGGTTAAGTCTTTCAAAAATTAGCAAAAAATAGTAACACTGATGTAATTTTGTCTCTGTGTATTACTTGGCAGATGAACAGCTGTAGCATTCAGCTTTGGACTTTTGGTGTGAGATTCATCAGGCTATTTGGCTACAGCCCCTTTCTTACCAGCTGAGGGATATAGGCACTTTTTAGGGTGTGATTTACTTATCCTGAAGAAACAGTTTAAAGTGGGTCAGATAAAGTAAACTTTAGAAGTGTCAGCTTGCCTCAGCTGGGTGTAGCTGCAGCCATGGGTGTGTTGTTCTGAAGGAGTCTCTGCACTAATATTGGGTGAGATGGATCTCACCCACCAGGTGCTTGTGAAAGCACAGGGTGAGTTGGACAGCTCACAGAAGTGCTTATCTGTAAGGAATACTAAATGAGATGTGAAGTGTGTATTTTGTTAATACTCTTATGTTACATTTTGGTAAATCTCAGAAAGTTGTCTACAGGGTTCTGCCACATCCAGCTGTTTATTTACAGAAATGAAGCCATGTCACTTGTCCAATATTTATGCTTCATGCTAAGTAAAGACAAGTTACTGACTTTAGATGTTGAAAATATTAAGGGACTGAAGATAACCCAAGGATAACCCAAGTTATTAAATTACATTGAGAAATTTTTGCTTTTCACTGACTGATGTTTCTCTGTGAAAAGTGGTTTATTTTCTGCTATAAATGCAGATACTGTTGAAAATTAGTATATAGCAAGTAGTGCAAAACCAGAGCCAGACTTCAGGATGAACTGAAGTTCCAGAGCCGTAATTCCAACAACTCAAGACCCATCTTGCATCACTAAGATGCTCTTCCCATTTGAATAGAGAGATGAGAGAAGGGCAGGATGTGATTGACTTCTGTGTAGGGCCACCTACTCTGGCATTTAGTGTTTCAGGGCAGCAGTGATAGCAAGGGATGATTTAGCACTGATAAATCTGAAATCTTGCATAGAAAAAATGAATTAAAGAATGCAGAGAAAAAAAAAAAATTCACCAAGTTGTGCTTATTGCATTGCAAGATGAGCATACATGAGATGAGTTTTCACAGCTTCTACTCGTGAAGAGAACACTGATCATGTTCAACAGCATGGGTTCTCCTCTGACCACTCATTCAGAAAGCGTCATCAGCTGTCTGCTGTTGGAAGAGGCAGAATTAAGAGTTTGTCTTAAGAATCTCCTCAAATATCATAGTCCTTGAGAACCTTTCATTATAATACACTTTTAAATTAATTAACCTGTGTCCTATATTAATTTATCATACATTACACAATCCTACATTGAGTAAAATTCCTTTTTATTTTAATTTTTCTGTTTTCCGCTAACTGCTTATATGCCTTTTGGGGTGTTTTTCTTTTTCCTTTATTGTAGTCAACTTTCCCACTCAGAACATTTGACTTTCTGGGCTTCTGCAAAAGAATACAAATGTTTGAAAGAGGGTCCTGGCTCTGGCTAGAGAGTGAGTGAGCAGTGCATGGTTTGGAGTGTTTCAGTGGGAACACTGAGCTGGGGATATACTGCTAATAGTTACTTCAGTTGTTTTCAGACTGGGATTCAGAAACAGCACAGATCATGGAAGTCTCACACTATTAGATGATAATTAAGGTACTCACCACACAGTTGAAAATCCCTGTTTTGACTCAGTTTGTTGTTACCTTGCTTAATTGCAGGCTGTCCACTCACCTGGCATTATGGAGATTAAGTTTTTTGGAAGGCATTTTTAATAATTCTGAATGCAGACTTTTTATTTCATGGATTTGTAGAAAATGCATGAATATACTTTTAAATTTATTTTTAAATTTCAGTGTACACTACAAAAATCACAGAAAAAAAGAATCAAATTTCTTGGTTGGAGGAAAATATAAAAAAAGGCAACGAGGCATTTGATGATTTGCAAAAGCAGAATGAGAGCTGCAAGAAGATCTGTAATGTGTGAGTATAAAAGAGCCTGAACTCTGAGCTGTGGCTGGCATTAAGGAAGTCAGTGAGGAAGGAAGAGAAAAACATGTGTGTGTGTTCTGACAGCAATGATATTAAAGAAAACTTTCATATTCTCTTCTTTTTTTTAAACTAAAAATCTTTAGGTATTAGAATTACAGTATTACCCATCCACTGAAGAATTATAGAAAAGCAGACTACATTTATTTTTTTTTTTTATTAAAATCCCCATTTTCAGAAGATCACAGGTACTATCTTTGCAGCATACTAAAGTATTCATGTAGTAAGGTAATAGAAACATAATGTTTCTACACTTGGATGCATCTGAGTTTTGTCAAATTTGACCAATATTAAACATAATGTTAAAAAAAAGACTTCCTAAAATGGAACAGCTTTCTTTTCTTTGTTCACAACATGTTTCATGTTACTTTTTGTTCTATACATATTTTCACTCAAGATTAAATACTCCATACACACATGCATGTGCTTCTGCTGGCAGATTCCAGTATCACTTTTGCTCCAGACTGCAAAATTTGTCTTCTGGGAACAATCTTTTGATGAATGCAATGTTCTGCCATTCAGTTTTTCTCACATAAATGTTTGTATCAGATAATTAGTTTAAGTTTTAAGTGCTGATCGCTTTTGGATCTTAGTAATTAGAAGCTTTTCAAGACACAATTTAGCTACAAGGAGTTTTAGCTCCCTGACACATAATTTTTAAAAATTAAAACCTCGGGTATTTGCAAGGGTAGCTGAAAAGGCAAATCTATATTTGACAATACAGAGAGTTTGTTCCAGGTGATAAAAATCCATCAGAGTGTTCCATTTCTTCACAATCTGACTAGTTCCTCAGCAGCTGGAGTGAGGATTTGTTGGCAAATTCTGTTTTGTTTTCTTGCAATTCTATATCTAAAGGTAAGTACTTCAATAAAAATATCTATGACACACATTTGAAATTTTTTTTTTTACAGTGTGAATGGAGAGTGTGGGCGTTTCTGACAATAAAGAAGGAAGTAAAGATGGGATTTGGATCCTTTCTAGGTTTATTTTGAACTCTTAGAAAGGAAAAGAAAGAATGGAATCATTAGTGAATAAAGTGGGTATAGTGGCTGGCTTATTTGAATGAATTGCTGTTCAATACTGATTTGTAGCTTTACCATTAAAAGAGCTGGGAAAAGATCTGACCCTTGGTAAAAAAATTCTATTTTTCCATTACATTAAGTTCTTGCCTCCAATGTTGTATAAAATAAACACTTGCACAGGTTTATGAAGCTATCCACACTGCTTCCTTTGATATCTGTTTGAATCTGCAAATCTGTTTGCAAATGACAAACTGTTAAGTGATGCAAATGAAGGAGTAAAAAATTAAGGCTAGAACTAAGGATCTGATCTAAATTTTAATCATTGGATTCAATGGGTTTTGGCTCAAGTCCTACAAAGAATAATTAATGGCATTAGTGTAAAGAGACTGAAAATGAGAAGTGACTCATTAATGAATACATGTATTCATAGAAGGACAATGCTTGCAGAAGAGTAGAGACTTTGTGTCTTAAATTATTGGAAATGTCATTTAACGACAGACTGAAAACTGCAATAAACAAGCCTTGGCTATAAGATCAGACAATTAGAGCACTTACACAGTAGAATCACCCCAAACTTCTAAAATTTATTCTAGTTGACACTCCATCTATACTGAACATGATTCTAATGTTGGTTTTGTAAATTCAGATACTGTTTTGGAGTCACAATCACCCTCACAGCTGACTAATTGCCAGTGATAGAGCTCAGTAGGGCTCTCAGAGAAACAACGTTTTGTCTGGGTTACAAGACATTATGAGTATCTTGAAGCAGATTTGAAGACTTTGAACAAAATACAAGGTTCTTATATTCAGCAAGTCTAGTGAAAATATGATATATGGGATAGATGTATTGGGATAATACTGTGTTTTCTTAAAAAAATCCATATTGGTCAACGTAAAAAAGACCTGAAGACAGAAAATTACCCAAATGAAACATATTTTTAGACAAGTGATGACATTTTGCTAATATTTAGTTTCTTGAAGGAGTCAGACTAGAAAAGTTGATCCAAGAGCAGTAGGAAGTAGTGAAATGCTGCTTTTGGAACCTATTTCAATTCTGTTGTTTCTCCTACAGTTTTTAAATTTGGATGCAAGGATGGTGGGGTTTCATGGAAATAGAAGATAATTTAAAAAAAGCCACATGAACTCAGAATGCTGTTAGCTAGGAAAAGAAATTATTGTCTTTTGGAAAAGAAAATTGTCCCACTAGCCAAACTGCAGGATAATTTTACTGCTTTCAGAGTGGTGTGGATAAAGATCTTTCCTATACCCTGGCTGATGAAAGGAAGGACAAATAAATGTAATGGCTACCAAGGGCATCCATGAGACAGTGATGCATTTAGCAAACAAGTAAATTAACTGCTTGAATCCTGCATACCTGGTTGTGTTCACAAACCAATGTTCTTGTACCACATGTTTTTGCCATGTCCACAGAGTAGGTATGGATGAAAAATATAACTCACAACACAGCTTGTACTCTGCACTTGCACTCTGATTAATAAAATCTCTATGAATTTTACATCTCAGGATTTTTTCCTTTCCTCCAAGAAGGTAATGGAGTTTCCTGAGTAAAAGAACATCACTGTGTCTGGTGTAGAAGCTTATTTTTATTTAGGTTAGGTTCTGCTTTTGAAAAAATCTGACCCTTTTGAAATTAAACTTTTTGCTGAATTTGCAGTAGATATGGTGAAGTAACATTTTGTAGTTCCACTTTTAATCACCAGTGGTGTCCAACAATTTGTGCCAGCAGTGCTGGATGGTTCATGCTTCTTATAACTTTTTTTTTCCCCCAGAGAGAATACCTTCTTTTCAAAACTTTTTAATATGCCTCTCCTAAAGATCACATCGGAATTTCACTTGAATCACAAACTCTATCTGCCTGTTTTCCTAGTATTCCCATATCCAAGGCAGAGGTATCTCTAATGCCTAGATGTTGAGAAAGTCCTGCTCTTGTCATAAGTATTCTGTGAAGCTGCTCTGCTCTCAGTTCTATCTACAGCATCCTGCTGTAAGAAAGTCACTTTGATGCTTTCTGAGCAGGACTTGCTTAGGAAATGGAGGAAATTCTGAGTTTGTAATTGCTGCCTGCATTTAGGTGTGAGATGGGTGCTGATGATGCTGGTGAGAATGAAGTTGTGGGTGTCTCCAGCAAGAAAATACAGCATATCTAAAGGATTTACTGATGGTGATGTGTTGAGGACAAAAAATGTGGATTTAGATACCTCATTACTTAGCAGTAGCTCCAAGAATTTGTGAAGTTAATTCCATTAGTTCCTTAAAAAGTGCTTTGTGATGTTTCTTAATTCTAAATAAATATATTTTAAAATTGAATTTTCAGGTTTAAAATATTAACAAAATAAATATATTCCTCCCAAATCTGTCCCAAACCAGGACAGCCTGCAAAAGATTTCTGTACTAAAACCATATATGTTTAACTTTCAAAAGATTTATAAATAATTTGTAAGCTAGCTAAAGTAACTTGTTGTCTTCTTTTCTAGATGTTTTTTTACTAAGAAAGACCACTAATATGATTTTGGTTTTTCTTTACTTTGTCCACAGCTGGAAGCCCACCTATACAATTCTTAAAAAACATGGAGAATATTTGAAAAATGAAATTAAAGCTTTAGAGGAAGCTACAGAAAATGAGAGGTATCTATGATCACATGAGATGAGGTTTCCAGCAATAGTACTGACTAAACTGATCAGCAAAACTAGTGCTGTCTGCATGAAAAAATTGCTGCAAACATTTCAGGAGTTTATAGTCACTTATAAATGAGTGAATAATTACAATAATTTTTTGTTTACATTACTATGAGATCATGTTATTTTGTAGTTGCCAAAGAACTATGATAAAATATGAATTCTTGAAAGTTGCTTCCCAAATGCCTATTACAATTTTTCAGAGCATTGTACGATTGCCTACAGTTTCAAGAAAAGCCCAATAAATAAAAACAATTAATGTTTTCAGTAACAGTTACAAGCATTCAGATAACTTTATGCTTTTCTTTTTTTTTTTAATATGAATTGCATAGATTATCAGAATATACAAATCAAGTTTTTGTATACTGTTGTATGTTCTTCAAAATAACCACAAAGCATTCAAATTCAGTCTTGGGTCCTGAAAAATGAGAAAGTGGCTCAGAAAAGTCTGGTGTAAAACCATATTAAGACCAGTTGTGGGCAAGCTTCTAGTCAGCATTAATTGTAAATTCAGTTCTTTTCAGTGAGTGGCATCTCAGGTGTTTCATCTTCATTAGTTAGACTCAGTATTTTAAAGAAATTATTAATTGTATAATGTAGCTGCCTGGAGTCAATGAAATAAAAACAGACCCAGAAGATTCTCACTGCAATGTTCCAAATGTGCTGTACCAAGGTAACCCTCCATAGACCTATTGAACAAAGTAAAACTGATCTCCATTTTCGAGAGGCTGCTCACCTGCACTGCTCTGCCTGTGAGGGGCTGGAGGCTGCTTGGCCCTGTGGTGCAAAAGTCACGGCAGACCCCTCCAGATACCTAAATACCAGTTTAGAGTTGTAAATTTAGGTAATTTAAAACATTGGCTTTGAGTCTTTTGTAATCATTCTTTTTGCCAGTTGTCCAAGACAGCAGAAACAGTATGCCTGAGAGCCTTTAATTAACTCACTTAGTAGCTTATCTTTTTTCTTCCTGTTCAGAGCTCTAAATTTGGTGAAAAATAAGGCTAAATTGGCTTTCTATGAATATACAATTCAGCCATTTTGGCTTTCACTAATTTGAGCTGACAAGCCAAAGAAGCATTACTTTTAAATTGCTTCTTTAGATAACTAGTTTCAATTCCAACATGAAAGTGTTTGATCTGTTTTCCTGAGCTTAATTATAAGACATCATGACTACAAATCACAAAAGAAATTTAATTCATGTATTTTTCAAAACTGTGCATCAAATATAGTCTCTCTGCTCCAAAGCATTTGATATGTTCAGGTCAGCAAGATGTGCATTCAGCAAATTCTAAATATTTAAATTAGGAAGAAAAATAAGTGTCTTTAGAACTTTATGAGCTGAATGTTCTTTTTAGCCTGGCATTTGGGGGCATTGAGGACATGCTGCTTTAGATGGAAAGATGTTTTTAAAATATGGGCAGATCAGTTTGTGTTTAATTAGGCACTTATAATGGAGGTTTATGAAATGTTCCACATATTTTTGTTGTTATTTGTTTCAAGAACATATAACTATGCATATAAGAACTGGAAGTTAATCCTGAAAATAAGTGATATGAAGAAGGAAGAAGTAATGAATTTCTATCCACATGATGCTCAGGGGGTTGTGGGTGCTGTTCTTTTCCTGTTGTAATTAGATTAAAACATTTTCTAATTAATGTGAATAGTGGTGAATTCTTAATAGTCTGTGTTATCTGCATGAACTGGAGGATGTAAATTACTTGGAGAAAATATAAAAACTAGTGATGATTACTCAAGGCTACTAACTATACTGTGTATGGCCATGAATACTATCTGTGGAAAGATAGATTTTGGGAAAAGAATATAAAGTTTTAGGATTATATTCACAAGCTTGAAATGTACCTGTTCCAACCTATTATTTTACTTAATTATATTATTTAAATATATTTGTAATGCATTCTAAATTTATTAGCAAATTTATTTTTTGGTCAGTTTTTGTTGTAACATCTATTTAATTAAATATAACTTAATAGTTTTCATCTTTCATACCTGGGAAATTTTGTACAGTATACAGAAATATTAAGTAAATCAAAAAACTTAGATTCCTGAGACCACCTGTGTAGAAAAGTGAGGTTTGTGTCATTTTCTTTGTGAAGTTTGGGAAATATCAATTCCTAGGTTTGATTCACAGTGTTGACCTCCAGCTTCTCTCCCCTAAAATTTAACAGTCAGTTTAACAGGAACTCATGCCTGGAGTGTAGTTTGATTTGAAAATGAGAATCTGACTGTGTTTTGCCTTGTGAATTTGTTTTCCTTTTGTAAGAGAAGAAGATTCTAGTATTGAATTTGGATATAAGTTTTTCTCCCTCCCTTTGCCTGGCACAGCCAGTGGTCAGCCAGGACTGACAAATGCAGCCTTTCAGTCATGCTGCAATTAAATGATTAAGAGCAGTTTGAGATAAAATGTGTTCCTTAAAGAGAAGTCCCGTGTGCTTTGCAAGCAGTGAGAACTGTTCTTTAAAGTAGGGGCAGGTTAAGAGGTGGCTTTCTGGCTTTAATTGCTTTTATGCACCATAGTTTTTCCCATAAAGGAATTTCATGTTAATCTTTAGGTGTAGTAATAACTTAATATTTTTAAATTTGCCTCTCCATTGTTGACATAAGCTTTTCCTGCATTAATTGAAGTTACCTACTTCAGTAATTCATAGCTATGTGCTCACATGATGTCAGTGAAGTTGCATTTAGTGAGTGTAATGTTTATTTACAGGGCAGCCCCACAAGAAGCTGAGCATTCTGGCTCTTAGCCACTTAAACATCTAAGTGTTTGCTTAACCTTAAGTATGAATAGTTCTGTTGTTTCAGTGTGACTGATGTGTGTGTTTAAGGCTTCCCTGAGTCAGACAGAGATTACTCAGCATCTCCTTGGAAGCAGCTACAGTGGTGCACCAGGCTGCTCTGAATATGGGAGGTTTGGCCAAATTCTCTTCTACTGTAACTTTGATGCAGCTCCACCAAAATGGATGGAATTGTGCCAACATGCACCAGCAGAGACTTTGGCCTGCAGTGAGTTTCATGATAATTAAACAGGGAAAAACACATTTGTCATCTTCCAGGCTGCCTTTGAATATGGTATGATCTACATTCCCTTCAGAACAGGGAGGTTTGGCTGGTTTTTACATCATGACTATTCTTTGTTACGTACAGCATAATCTTCCTTGAATATAGCTGGAAGATAAAAAAGTAAAGCCAAATATTAACATATTAAATATAATCCAACTTTTCTTCCTATGATAACAGCAAATTAACTGAGTGGGTGCAATGAATTGATAGGCTTTTTTTCTGTATAAACAATGATTTCTTGTGAAAAAAAATAAATTACATGTATTTTTACAGGAAAATATATGAGGATTCCATAACCCAGTTTAGAGAGATCTTGGAGGAACACCGCAAAAAATATACAGAAACTGCTCTTGCCAAGAAGTATTACCAAAAAAGGAAAGAAGTTGAAGAAATCAAAGAGAGGGTTTTGAAACGCCTTGAAAAATACAAATGGAAAGAAGATACTTGCTTGGATACTCTGGGTACTGCTATTGTCAATGCTTTTATAATAAAGCCTTTTGGCAGTGCACTGCATATTAAAGGTGCCATACAGAAAACCTCTAATTTTCCAAACTTTCCTTTAAACTAGTAAAATCTGTTCTCTTTGTTACATCATTTTTGGAAAAAAAAAATCAGTAGCAGATAAGAATTTAGTTTATACATACTAATATTTCTTCCTCCAACTCATAAATGTAATGGGGAGAGATTTGTCATTGAACTTTTTGGGGTAAAAAAGTTCTAAGATTCTTTTTAATCGAGCCTCTCAAAATTTTAATTTTCATCACTTTTTAATGCTGTTTTTAATGCCATTACTGTTATACTTCAATTTTTGTTATCTATACTAAGCCAAGATAAATGCTCTTGATCTATTAATTTATCTTGTATTTTTTAAGGAAACTGATTTGTTAGTTAATGATCTGAAAGTAAATTTTATTTTTGCAGAGGCTGTTCCTTTTATATCCGTAAATGATTGGGCTGTACACATGTATCCTTTATTTCTAGTGTTTGTTCAGTTGACAAGAAAAAAGTTTTATATTTACCTTTCACAGTTTTCTGTTAGAAAATAATTATTTATATATTTATATATAAATATATTCATATATTTTTATGTTTGTATATTTGTTTATTTATATACTTATGTACAATGTGTCAGCATTGGCATTTCTGTGTGAGAAAATGGAAGGTCAAATCCAACTATTCAGTTAAAATTTATGGGAGCATTTTGGGGAAAGAAAACAGAATTTCATTTAATAGCATATCCATCAAAGCTCTTCATTTAGGAGAAGCTTAATTGAATTTAGAGTTGAAGATTTGCCAAGGAAATGCAGATTTATCAGAGCTTCCTGCACCTCTAGCATTTGTGTTATGGCATAGAGAGGTCAGGGATCTGATGGCATCCCTTGCTCGAAAAAATATATTGTTGTAAAATATATTCCATGACATGGAAGTGCATCTATGAGGAAAAAAACACAGGAAACCTTGCAGCTCACTGAAGCTGCTGTGCAGGAAACCATCAAAGTGGAAAAAGAAGCAGAAGAATTACAAATGAAAATTGACTGCTTAAAAAAGGCAACTGTACATTAATTTTATTTTATATAAATGCATGTTATATATGTGTTCATCCATAGCACCGTTACATTTTCTGAAACATCAGAAAAGGTATCATCACATAAGTTTTCTGAGAGGAGAGAATGTAAAGGTTCTTAAAGCTTGCTTTCTGCTGACCTCAGTTTGTGCCACAGTTTCTGCTGTCACCGTGTCACGATGACTTTGGTGTCAGCTCAGGAGGATACACTTGAAAATAGATCAGGGCCACTCCTCAGTGAGCCCCAGGGCCCGAGTGTGCAGCTTTCACAGGTCCTACTGGGTTTTTAAGGGTTTGTATTTAACTAAATATGCTTTACAATAGGAATAATGGAAATTCCTTCTCTCCTTATGTTTTTTCCCCAAAATACATGCATGGGTATATAATACCCAGCAGTAAAACTGGCTAATTGACTAGGAGAAACACTGCTTCCAAAGGGCAATCTTCAAAAAAAAAACCAAAGGGATTTTATCAGTACAGAATTTGGACCTGCTCCTCTGTAAAAAGTCTCTTCTAAGCCTGAGTAGCCCAATCTTGTAAAGGTTTAGCAACTTTTTGTGCCATTGCATCTGGGTGCTTTTACCTGGATCAGATGATAAAGGACTCCATTTACTGCCTGGGGCTGATAGCAGCACGTTTTGCACAGGTGGTTTTTCTGTTTATATTCTGTGATCTTGTTTGACACTCCTGGTTCCAGACTGAAGTTCCCAATGTGGTTTGTGCTGTGTAAACATACAGGAAGAAGGGATGTGGTGAATTTGTTTATAGCTGTGACAGAGACCATGTAAAGTACTCCAGGTTCTGACATTTAGACCCATGCTCTAAAACTTCTCTTTTTATTCTGGTTGTTACAGTTGATCCAACAAAGAATGTTGCCTCTTTTTAACCTTGTTCTCCTTATTTCTTCAGAACCTCTTGGCTACAAAAACTACTACTGAGCACTGATTCATCGAGTTTAGAAAACTTTTGCAGCACATAGCTAAAATAGTGCAAGTTTTGTAAATCTTTATGCCATTTGTTATTTATCTTTTAAGACCTTCAAAGAGACTAAAGAAGATCAAAATAATTCTGAAAAGATTGAAGGAAAAAACCAGAAAAGTCATGAGAAGCTAGAAGAGTTTACAGAAAGGTACACTTCAAAATTATTTTTCCCCTTACTTTTATTTAGAACACTACCTCAGAATTTACACAAAGACTGCTACAAAACACAGATTGTTGTTAAATAAGAACTGTCAAGCTTCTCTAATCCTGGTCATGTGATTTAATTATGTAATTTAAAAAGTTCTATATTTCTGGGGGTTAAGATAGTGACAGCTTTTGATTCTTGAAAGCTCAGTGTATCTGGAAACATGCTATAAAAATATTCTGCAGAAGCATTTTATCCTCACTACTGCTGAGAGATCTGTGTGAGTAGTTTTGAATGCAACTACAGTGGCTGTGCAGTCAGAGATAAAATAACATTAACTCTACTAAATCTATATTTGCAAAATGAGTCAGGATTCCACATGTCAGTTGTCTTCACCTCTGAACTACTTAAGAAATTTAACTCTTAATTTAGTTCTTAAAAACAAGCATGAGTGAAAGTTTCATAGACAGGATTAATGGCTTAGTAAATTAGTCAGCTATCATTTACAGCTGGGACTCACTTTAATTTGAGCTCAATTACAATGACTGAAAATCACCATGAGGACTATCTTGCACTTATCTGGAGTCTTTGTGAATGTTGAAAAATTTCCCGTTGAGCTGACACTTTTAGACCAAAATCCATTTTAAAGCAAAAATATGTCTGAAAGATTTGGTATGATTTTATATTATGGTGTGCTTGAAAAAGAATCCTCTTAGGGCTTTAAATAGGCATTTAGTGGAACATAGTTATAAAAAAGTGTATTTTAGTAATTCCTAAGATTCTTTTCACAGGGACCTTTTTAGTCTAAAGATCTTCTTACAGACCTATAAATCATTCAGATGATCATTTATTTGTGGTGTAGCCTTTGCACCCATTTAACCTTCTCACATAAGATTTTTGTAATTGGCAAGGACAGAAACATGGGTAAACAAGAAATCCCCTTAGTTTTAAGACAAGGTAAAAAAAGTTGGGAAGCACTCTCTGTGAATTTTCAAGTAAAATCATGTGTGTTCAGTCTGCAGAACACAAAATACCAGTTAAAGACCTGCTGTAAGAGGCAGAAATCCATGCACTGAGTATGGAGGTGTAAGAATTCCTCAGTGAGGCTCCACATGGTAAGGAATCCATAGGGTGCACTGCCAGACCTGCCATTTGTACATTTCTTTTCCTGTCATGGCATCTCCTTGTACCTTCGCCTGAAGCTGTGTATGTTCCACAACATAAATGCTTGTAGAAAATGTCATAAAATTGGTTTCTTAATATCTTTATCTGACATTAGTGTATTAAAAAATGCCTTCACTAGAAAGCGTGCAAGTGACTGCTTAAGTAACTATTTTTTTGGTATTTAATTTGTATTAATAAGGAGTGTATTATGAAGCTGAGAAAAAAACCAAAAAAACCCCAAAACCTCTGGAAAAAAAAACCAAACCAAACAGCCCCAGGCAGAAACTGTGTATTGAGAAAATGAGCCATAGGAAATAAAACCTTTGCAGACTCAAAGCAATGTACAAAAATACAACAGCAGAATGTGGCTACCAAAGGCAGGAGTTTCTTTTGAGCTGTCCTGTAGCCACGAGCAAAAAGATCTTTGTGAAGGAAGGAGATATCTTCATCTTCTGCCACAAAAGAAGAAGAAAAAAAAAGAATAGTACTGTGAATCTCCATGAGCTGGTCCAGACCAGCATGAAACCAGCAGCATCAAGGGAAAGAATTAAAGGGAGCAGTGAAAGCACTGGACAGAACAATGTAGAGATTAATACCCATGAAAAGCTTTAGAAGCAAGCTTGGAAGCCAATTAATAGGTTCTGATATGTATGTTCTGCTTTGGGTGGCAGGGTGGGAACTGTTCCTTTAAAAAGCTTGGAATGCTATTGTTTGGACCACTTAGGTCTGGCCAGTTGTTGTTTAGGAGTGTAAAATGCAGATTCCTCTGCTCTTACCAGCTCTTGTCTCTGATTCACAGCTCACCAGTTACACTGACAAATATCACTGTTTAATTTCCAGAGAGTTCTCATCAATCACCAAACAGCACTCAACTCTTTTGAAGCCCTGGTCTTGATTTCTCAATTAGACATTCTATTTATTACATAGAAAGGCTGGTATCTTGAACTGCATTATGGCATATATAGTGTTCATTCTCTCTGCTTTTGTAAAATGGTTGGGAGAGATTTAATTCCATGACTCTGTAATTCTTTATTTCTTTTGCCTTCCAGTTTAGTTATGTATTAATTCCATCTCTTACTTTCCAAGTGAGAGCTTTTTGCTACATCTTCACATAAAGGAGATTCCACGGTGGATTATTGCATTTCTTTCAGCATCTTTGCATCAGAAATGATTGTCTTTTACAAATAGATATTTGATTATATTAATCTTACTATTGATTAATATAAATATTAGAAAACTACTTATGAAGTTGCTCTGGATTTCTAATGTAAACATTTATGAAGAGCTAACTCAAAAGAATGCTCCTGATGAGAATACTGAACATGGTTTCAATAGCTGATACCACAAAAATTCAATAGCAAATACCACAGAAGCAGATGTGATTCTTCATATGTATAATGACATACACTTGAGTCCTGTAGTGGAAATTAATATTAATCCTTGGGTTTCTTTATGCTACAAAGAAGAAAAATACTACCAAGGAAATGGCAATTTATTTTGGTTTAAGAATATCTGTTTTTCTCTTTACACTTTAAAAAATGCCTGCAGTATGGATCAAGGAAAAGAGTTTTTATCTACTCAGATGTCTACTAGTGAAGCAGAAAAAGAAGAAAAATGATTATTCTTGTTGCTGCAATTTGGATTGTTTTGAGCTTTGTGATGCAGTTTTATTTTTCTTCCAGGAGTATTAATTAATGTCAGAGAAGATGTGCATGGTTTATATTTCAGTAGTGCTTTTGTGGACAGAAGGGAGCAGGTGTACTGCATATGCATAGAGTTTAACTGCAGGCTCTTTTGGAAGGTTTTCTTACTTGAAGAATGAATATCTTAAGAATTTCTGATTTTGGTTTGTAACCCTGCCTTTGAAACATTATTCTGTATAGATATGCATTGTAAGAGGATTTTTTTATTTAATGGAGAGTAAGTCTTTAGAACTATAGAGTTGTTTGGTAGGCTTTTGTCAGCCCAGGACAGCTTTACAGAAGCACAAGGAAACTGATTCCAGGAACTTTTAAAAACAGAGTTTGACATACTGAGTTCTGAAAAAAAACAAACCTACCAACCAAAAGCCCCCCAGCCACAACCCTCCCCATATTTATGGCAGTCTAACTGATGGCCTCAGCCACAGTAGCCTTGTTAAACTGATCTTTGAATGATGATTGTGGTAAAATGAGCCATTTGGAACAAAGTGAAACAGTTTTATCCAGAGTTCTGTGGTGCTTTTGATTTCTCCTTGCTTTTGAGCTCCCTGCATCTGAATTTAAAGACACAACAGCCACACACGTCTTGTTTTCTGTAGTGTTCATTCTTGACACAGGTTTATCTAGAGCTAATGTAAAGATTTACTTTGGTTTTTAGTTTTTTAAATGGTAGATGTTTTGTACAGTTTGTTCAGTCTCAGTCCAGCACAGCACCAGGTATAAATGTAACTTCAAGAGAAAATAGTCCTTTTCATCAGAGATACTTGGCTGAGGTGCTTTCAGAGTTTTATGTGAGCACAGTTCACACAGTTCAGTGCTTCTCACTGGTATTTTTTCCTTAGTGTTGCTAATTTTACTCCACACTATCTTAAAAAGTGTATCCTACATTTTATCTTATTTTTGTTTTTGGAGAATTTCAAGAAGAACAAAAAGACTGACTCAGTTCTTCATTTGTTTTGAAGAGCATTGTTCAGTCAGCTACAAACCAGATGTTATAGCTAGAAGCAGAGAGGCACTAAGCAGGAATGCCAGAGAGAAAATAAAATAGAACTCATTATTCTAAAAAATAGTAAATGTTCCTCTGCCAAACAGCCACTTTACTCTTCATTGTTCTGCTAACCTTTGTCTTTCTGCACTGTAAAGGGCTATTTACCCCACACAGATAATTACCCCACAAGTAAAAACACTTGCTGCAGTTTTCTCTTTTGTGTATGTGTAGTGTGAGTATTCCAGACAATCTCAGAGAGAGAAAGTGGTTTTAAATGTGAAAATGTGATTTCAGAACTACAATAAGGAGGCACTTTAATCAAAATGTAAAACTCCACAATACTTATACTTTTCTTTGATTCTGACAAAATTTAAGCCATCAATGTTTTTATGATTGGCTCATTACTGCTTTGTGGCCTTTTTTTTAGAGAAATTCTCTCTCTGATACTTAAAGAAAATCTAACCCAGTAGCCTGGGTGTAGCCTATCAACTACTGATGCTGAAAGTGGTAGAATTTCTTTGACAACATCCAATGCCTGTGAGAATTCCACTTATTTGAAGCAGTTATATTTTATGATTTCTTTTCTTATGCAGTGATTAATTTAATTTTTTTTTAATTTTAAATTTGTTTAGGGTGTTTGAAGAGCGTGAAGAGCCATCTTTGCCAAAGAAGAAACATCAGCTGTACAGAGCATTGCCTGTCCCTTGCGTTTCTCGGAAATCTGTCCAGTCTGCAGGGAGTTTTAGATTTCAGAAACGACCAGAAACAGGTGTAGTGTGTTAAATGACTTCAGTGAGCATTTTGTGTTATTTTTGTGCAAAAGAATGGGTAAGTGATGATAAAAAAAATCTAGTGAACTGCTCGACTACTTATAGTTGAAGCCAGGCTCTCAATAGAAGTTGGGTGCTTACTGTTTTTTATGTTTTGGAAATCTTGTGTCTGATTTCTTCCTTGTCTGTGCAATGAGTAAAGTAATATGACAGATACACCTAATGCATGGTGTCAGAAACATCTGAAAATAATTTAATTTACCTTTAGCACTGTTTGCATTAGTACAGTAAATATTCAACTACTGTTGTTTGATACTTTCATATTTTGTGATAAATTTCTTTTTGTTCTATATTAAAAGGAAAGTTTATAAGATTTGTTTGGAAGTTCTGTTTAACAATGCCATGCTTTGGATGCTTAATATTATTGACAATATTATGTAATATTTGTAAATTTAGGGAGAGAAGAAAAAGAGAAACCAGTGGCCACCAGCAGTTCCTCCAGCCTTACAAAAAATTTATCACAGGTGTGTTGCTCTCCCACTGGTAAAAAGATGAAGTTATATAATCTGTTTTATGTGGTTGTTTAAATTTAAAACACTTCAAATATACCTCATGGTATTATGTCTTACATAAAACCTGTTAGCAGTATAAGTTGCTAATCATGATAATCTGAAATTGCTTGGTAATCACAGCAAAAATCTTTCTTTGGTGACTTTTCATTCTGAAAATATCTATGTTCTTACAAAGTGCACTCTAATGCCAAAATCGAGGTGGCCCATCTTACCAACTCGTTTTGTATAACAGTTTTTATCATTTAAAATAACCTCTGTAGATTATGTATGTAGCAAATATTTGGAACTCTAAAGGAGGATCAGAATCTTCTGTTACTGATGAATCATGGGCCATAATGAAGGATTTCATAAAGGACTGAGTTTACAGGACAGCCCACAGTTAACAGCTCCATTCTGAGGTTTAACCAGAAGCAGAAGTCTGGGCTGAGAGTAACAAAACCATGAACATTCCTTGGTGCACTGCAGGATCCCACAGCTCCATTTTCTATCTCTCACCCATAAGGATATAGTTACTATGACATTTTTTGAAATGGTGGAGTGAATTGCAGCTTTATTTACATTGCAATATTTTTTATTCAAATACCATAAACTAATCCAGAAGAAAGCTGGAGGTACAACTTGCAAAGTTGTGAAAACCACCAATAGTTTCATGGAACGAAAGATCATTCATAGAAGCAATAGATTGTTAAAGTATTAGATGGAGAAATCGGAGGAGGTAAGGCCATGAAGGGTAGAAGAGTTTGCTACTGTGTTTGCTGTGCAGGCGCTTGGGGAAGTTTCTATCTCTAAACCATCTTTCAAAGGGACATCTCACTAGATCTATTTAAAAATCAAAATTTAATGAACAACAAAATTCAGATAAAAAAAGTTAGCATAACTGGTTGTGGTTTTCTTAAGAATTTCAAGGGAACAGAGGAATGAGGTGAGTAAATCACTAAATGCTTTAGAGTGAAGCCTGTGTGAGAAGACAAAGCTTTCATTACAAGAGACAAGATGAAGGACAGTGACAGGACTGAGTGGGACAAGACCAGAAGAAATTTCAAGCAATTCTGATTTGTGAGTGGCTTAGGGAGTTTGGCATGATGAGGATGACAGAAGGGCTGTTGCCAGGGTAATCTAGAGATGAGGCTGGGAGTCTGGGACCTAGAATTGCACTTAGACAATTGTAGGAAGCAGTAAGTCAAGGTTAAGAGAACTTTAAGAAAGGGTGATGGCAACAAGGAAAAGAAGATGGAATCCGAGGAAAAATAAAAAGATTGGAAGAAAGAAGGTTGCTATGCTTCAGAAAAGGTGTGCTGTACACTGCAGGAGTTGAGTGCCAGGCAGATTCTGCAGAACCAGCTCTTTTGTCCCCTACCTTAAATAGAATTGAGTTTGATACATTTTGTTAATTAAAAAATATACAAGAACTAGACACTCCCTCTAAAATAATATGTTCTTTGATGCTGAAGCGTAGATTCCTCACCCTACACTTAAGGCACAAATACATGCTACATAGAAGAGAGATGTCTTCTGCTCCAATAAAAAATCTGTGAGGTGGGAGTACTGCCATGTGTTCTGCAGTTTTTGAATCCCCACATGAGACCTGTGCTGACTGAGACTGATGTGGATGCTCAGTTGGCCTTCAGAGGCAGAGCCAGGCCTGGCCCCAGCCCTTTCTGTGTTTACAAGCATGGGCAACTAGGCTGTGGCAGCAGCAAACCTGCATGAAGTTTGTAAATGGCATCACATTATTTGTGTTATAGAAAAGTTAATTTATCACATCTAGTTATTGGTGCTGTGACTAAGAATTTATTAAAAAATTACAGAAGTGGTTTTGGGTATCATGCTGTCAAAATGTAGGTAAAGCAAAGAAAAAGTTTTTACATTTTCTGGTCCTTAATTTCCAGTTAAAAGAAGGGATTTCCATGGTCTAAGGAGAAATCAAAGTGATATTGTTGAAGTGACAATTTCACTTGATGCCTCATTTGAATTTTTTCTGTCTTTTAGATGGTTATTGACACTGCAGGGACTAATAAACCACAAATTGCCCATGTTCCAGCAATAGTAAATGTACAAAACCAAATGAAATTCAGGTAACTTTAATAAAATAGCTTCCGTTCTCAAGGCTGGGGTTTATGGAAATAATTCACATTTAGACAAACATTCAACTTTGTCTTTTAGACTGTCAGATCTTCCAGAGCAGCTGACTTCCAATCAACAGTTTGAGAGTGAAAATGCAGTAATGGGTAAAGTACTACTGTAACTTTTTTAATAAGGTTGGATCATATAATTATAAACCAGAAAATTCTAGGGAGCAGATTTACATTCTGGAATCAAGAGGGCCACCATTTCCATTTCTTTTCCACCTTGATTGTTAAGTATAGCAGACAGGCAGAGTCCTAATTTAAACAGAGACTTAACTGCTCAGTAATGTGCAATTTATTCTGCACTGACCATTGTGAATTAAAGGATCTGTCCAACATTTCTTGTGAATTCACACTTTAATCCCAAATTCCTTAGGCAAAATGAAATCCAGTCTTAACATCTAGCCAGAAGGCATGAGACAATGCAAAGAAAAGGGATATAATAAACCCAGTAATTCAGGTATCTTGAAGAATCAGATTAAGATTCTTAAAAATTAAAATTAACTGGAGAAAAACATGCAGAATACTTACAGAAAAAAACAAGGTCATTACAAATACATCTGTAGCTTTTGAAATCACAAGGAACTGAGCTTCAGTTTATTTCTTTTTCTAATTGTACTGCTAATTTAGATTCATGTAAAAGATTATAGCCTAGATTTTTTTCACAAAGACAATACTGAAACATAGGACCTTAACCCACAGTGCCTGAGATGTAGCACAGTCTGAAACTTAAAGCAGAAACTGACAGCAGAAAGTCTGATAATACTTCTGTGCGTTTCTCATCCTGACTCTTGCCCAGTTCTTTAAGCTACGCTTCACCATTGTCACATGGATGTGCTTTTTATATTGTTCCCACCTGGTTTCTATTGACTGTTAGCACTCTCAGAGGGCAATAGCTGGAGTAGACAAACACAGCACTCTCAGGGAGCAATGGGCAGGTTTGAAGAACACACCAAACCACAAACAGCAGCCTGAGTAATGCTTTGACAACAGCGAGTAAGTGGCAGAACAAGAGGTAATTGTTATGGACAGAGCCACAAAGTGGATTGTTAAGAAAACCAGTCAGAATGCTTCCTTACCAACAGCAGAGCTAGTGAATGCTAGTTCAAGCTAGTGAACTTTTCTGAAGGATTCTTTCCCACAATGCCATTTTTGTGTGTCTGTTTAAAATGCTGTTATAATACAGGCAGTGCTGTCTTTTTTGTGCAGCAAGCCAACAGGCCAAACATGTCAATGAAGAAGCAGATGAGCACATGGACTGTTCGTATGTACCTCAAGTAAGAAAAGCATTTCTTATGTCAAAAGTAAGAAGTTCATTTAGAATAGTTGAAGTGTTGTGCCATATTTGATCCAGTTGGCAAGAGGCAAGCCTCAGAAATTGGTAAAGTATCAACTTGTGCATAACACTTTCATTAATGTGAGCTGGTGAAATGTTTAGAAAAAAATCTGCATTTAAAACTAATTCTTTGCACATAACTGTAAATAAACTTAGTGCTGGCTCCACTGAGAACATATTTATAGTTAAAAGGACTAATGATATTTTGGGAAATTTGATATGTTATAAACATCATTGTTTATTTCTTTTTAATAGGATGTGCATACAGGTTTTAAGCCAAATGAAGATAATACCAACATAGCAGAAGGAAGTGCAGAACCTTTCTTAAAAGCACCTAAAACACCTGACTTATCGGGGAAAAACCTACACTTCTCAAAAATACCTCCATTTGACTCGTATGATTTCAACTTTTATTTTGATTCTGAGCAAAGAGTTGTACTCACATTCATTGCATAAGCATTTCTGCTCTTTTTGAAAGATACTAGAGAGAGAATTTTCTAGAAAGCTCATCTGAAAATATTAATATTTTTTTCCTGAGTTATGCTTGATATTAAATTTTCTTCTTACAATATCATTTCCAGTTGAAGCTGTTTTGAAAAATCGGTACTTTTCTTAGAAATGTATGAGACACATTGTCTTTTCCTGCAGTAATATTTGTTACTCAGATTCCTATCTTTAAACAGGATTTATATATTTTTTTTTTGTTAAGAGGGCAGGGAGTTGATAAGAACACCACCTCCCTTTACTTTAAAGAATTGTGTTACATGTTCTGTGATGCAAAAAGTCATTATTGATGGAAGCTATGGGAATGTAAAAAAAATGAAAAAAGAGGAAAAGGAAAAAAATAGAAGGAAAAAGGCCATCTACATTACTTAAAAAAAAACTATTAATGTAGTTTCTACCTTTCTGTATTTACAGCATTCAAAATTTAGGTTGTGAAGAAGGAACATCAAAATCTCCTGCTTTCTTTTCTTTCATGAACTTCTCCCAGAAGTCACCGGGCTTTAATTTATTTGATTCTTCTCTGTTTGGAGCACAAAGTTCATCTGATGAGGTAAAAATTATTAATTGTGAACATTAAATTTCCACAAAGCAGAATATTTGAACAAAACAGCATTGACACTGGATGAGATTTTTCAGACTGATTATCTTTGTAGCAAACATTTTTTTTAATATCTTGGTTACTTTTAAGTTTGATATTCCTTGAAAATGTTTAATTCCTTTCCTGGTAATCCCCCTATGATGACTTCTAACCAAGTATGAATCTCTCTCATACAAATCATGTGCAAATATACAGTGACTCAATTCACCAAAAGGCTTCTGGTTCAGTGTTACAGCACAAAATTCAAGTTCTTTAGCAGATTTCACAACTCACATGCTTCTCCTGTGTGGTTTTGTCTTGATGAAGTGAAGAACAGTGAGAGGGGAAGAAAGGACAGTACATAAAGGTTACTGAACAGCAAATATGGATTAGCTATACTCAAATGGAGGAGCTAGGTAGGCAACTAAATGGAGCAGGGAATGAAATCCAGATCTTCCATTTTCTTTGCAGGTTCCCTAACTCCAGTGCTCTAGAGTAATTTTTTCTCTCCTGGGCTATTAGGTAGATAATTGGGGAACCAGATGTGTGCATCAGAGAGGGCTTAGGTATCACTTGGCAGTGTAGATCCACATCCCTTAATGCAAATAAAGGATTTGAGCCCAGGTAGCTCCTGTTGCAGGGGGTGTGCTCAGTCTTGTGGTTACTGGCTGGGAGCTGAAGCAGGGATGAGGGAAAGCACCATTTTATTCTGGGTTTGGCAAGATATATGTGGTTGGTGTCTCATAGCATGAACTGTGTGTAAGAGAGAACACACTGGTGTGTGGTTTGTGAGTTGTTTAGGATTCAGGTGGGTTTTAAATCACTTGCTGTCAGAACACACATTATTTTGCGCCTGCGCTGCAGCAGAAACTAAGAACTTACCAGGCTATCACAGATCTGGGATTCTTTAAAGTTAGATGGGAGTTTTGAAGACTTCAGTATCTTTTAGTTATAGTCTTATACTTTTAAATCTAATCTAAGAACTCATTTTAAGAGTGACAATTAGTTATCCTGCTACTCTTTCTGGCAATATGAGGGCTTCCTCAGTAGAGGAAGTATTTGTGTTTTTGCTTGGAGATTTTATAAAACATCACAGATTTGAATAATTTTGAATCTTTTCAGTTTAAAAACCAGCAGTAAGTCAGGTCAGTTTTTGGACTGTTATCAGTCTGTTTTTTCCTAGTAGAATGGAGGAAGGGTGTTTGCAGCTGAATGCAAATATCATAAACCCCATCTGATCAAGAACTTACCTTGCAACTTTAGGGACTGACAAATACTTTTAAATCCAGATTTTGTAAAGGCTGCTAATATTCACTGATACAGTGTTTTTCTCACTAAAAGCAAATGAACATATTACATATCAGCATTAAAGTTTACTCTTGCCTTTCTAATTTCTTTAATTAAAATTTTGTTTACATTTCAGACAGAGGGAAATTATTCTGTGGGAAAACTGAGCTCTCTGTCCCCACACAAAGATCTTGGTAAGTCTGAAGCTCAGATGTGCTTGTGTTTATCAGCTCTCTTCTCCTTGTGTTCCTGTGACTGACAGGCTCATGATTCAGCTTAACAGAGTTCCTTTGGTTGTCTGAAAGGATGTTCAGTTGTGATAATGTAGCTCTGTGGTTTATTGTGCTCATTTATGTTTTAACTAAATCTTTAGCCTAAATCTTCCCTTGCATGTTGGGCCCCAAATGTCTGATATATCATGGAAAAGAAGAGGTATGAGAAAGAAAGAAATGAGAATAGAGTTAGCTCTGTTTGAAGCAAAATGAGAGGACTTGCTCTCATTTTGAGAAAAAGAAAAAGTCCTAGTATTTCAATGACTGATCAAATTTTTTTCTAAATAAACACTTTTGCAGATTCTGCTTACAAATACCTCTGTTGCAGAAATGTTTTGCTGTTTTAAACCATTCAAGTGCTTCACACTTCCTTCTATGTCAATTCTAATAACAAGCCCCTGGAAATACCATCTCTGGTGCAGCAATAAACACACAACTGCAGGGTGATGCTCAGTGGGATATTTGGCACAATATATTAATAAAGAAGTATATGCTGAATGCAGTATTATCTCAGATTGAATCTAATTACAAATATTATATGTATTCCATATAGGAAGTTTCTTTGGGAAACCAGAAAATGAGGATGCATTTACCTTTCCCTTCCACTCGGAATCAACTTCTCATGCATTTGGAGATGGAAAGGATGACGTTGGTTTTTCATTTGCATTTGGACAGGATCAGAGATCACCCCAGTTTCCTTCTATGGGAAGTTTTCATTCTTCCATACAAAATACAAAGCCATTTACACTCTTTTGAATACCTTTTAAATTACTTTCCTACTTAGCCTTGACAAATGTTTCCAGTTTCTTGAGTTAAAGTACAAAGCATTTCTTCTCCTTCCGTTTCTTTTAAGAACACATTATTGCAATTGCTGCAATGTGTGTTCATCAACAACACCTTCTGAAATTTTCTTATTTATCTTTGAAATGTGTTTGTTCATAAAATATTACTGTTTGCTTTTGCTAAATTGGCACTCACAAACAGAAATATAATTTTAGGATAGAGTGTTAATTCAGTGTCTCTGAGAACATTTAAACATACAGATAAGAACTTTCAGCTTCTGATATAAATTAAATTACTTGTGTTAATAAGAATGACTGTTTTAGCAGTTAAAGCTGAATTTGAATTAAAGACAATGTTCTTAAGTATTCTGTGTATAACAGCTGATTTATAAAATATTTGAAATAAACATTTTTGTTAATTTTATGTAGTTTTGTAGGTATTTCTTAATATCTGAAGTGGAACAATGTTGCAATTGTAATATTTAACTTCCTTTCTTCCTTTTTTCTTCCTCCTTTTCTTTTCTTTTCTTTTCTTTTCTTTTCTTTTCTTTTCTTTTCTTTTCTTTTCTTTTCTTTTCTTTTCTTTTCTTTTCTTTTCTTTTCTTTTCTTTTTTTTTCTCTTTCTCTTTCTCTTTCTCTTTCTCTTTCTCTTTCTCTTTCTCTTTCTCTTTCTCTTTCTCTTTCTCTTTCTCTTTCTCTTTCTCTTTCTCTTTTTTCTTCTCCACTATCTAATGTCTTTCAAAGAAGACAGAGACAGTTCCCAAAGTCCAGCTGTGGTCGGTACAAGTATGTCCCTCAGTTCTCCACAAAGGAGAAAGAATGGAAATTCATTTTCCTATGGAAAGAATGGCTGTTAGGACAATATCAGGGTTAATCAGCAAGGAATGCTGACTGTTCTGAGCCACCAGAGCACTGTGCCCTGGGAATCCCTTAGAACCATCTTCTCTAGAGCCAAAACTTCCATATTTATGGCCTTTGAAGGCAATACCAGATCACTTTGAAGATATTTTTTCTGTTACGCATGAAACATAGGTTACTAATTTTTGAAACTCCTCACAAATCTATACGGGAATTTGGTTTCCCAGTCACTTGCTATGAGAAAACTCCCTTCCTGACAGCAGGCAAGCAAAATAAAGAGAGGTCCACATCGTTCAGCAGACTTCAGAGAAGAGATTGCAAATGCACAAATGAGTCAGAGGGGCACACAGACTGAGAGGAGCAAGCGGCCAAAAAGCATCCTACCTGTAGAGTCTGCACAGTCTGCCAAATAAATGACAACAAAGTCCCAAGGGGAGTAGAGTCCTTTCCCCTCTGCTGCCCTGCAAAACCCTTAATGGGCAACAGCTTGATTATCTATGCCACTGTTTCTTTTCTGCCAAACTCCTAGATGCATCAGGACCTGTTTCTTTTCTGCCAAACTCCTAGATGCATCAGGACTATTTTCATGTCCAGAGAATTGTGAAAATTGGATTTTTTTTTAAACTGGAAGTGAATCAGGAAATTTTAGTGAAATCATGCTGAGGTCCAACTACTAAGCAGTGAGACACAGATTTTCTAATCTACTGCCTGCTAATCTGAAAATCCCAATGGAAAGGCAAGTTTGAGTCCCTACCTTTTATTTGGGGCAATGGTTATGATACACTGCTGACAGATATTCTGAGATCATTTAGAAAACCAAAAGTTTAATTTTTTTTGCTCAGTTATTCCATAACTGAAGATCTTTCCTGATGAATTCTGTTAACTAACATCTAACTAAGATGTTCCAATGTAGAAGTCAAATTGGATAGGCTGATTAACAACAGAGCAGAGAAAGCTGCTTCAGAAGAGGCGACCTCTCAGCATTTGGGATACTTTTCTGAGTTCTGAGACCATGAACTGCTTATAAACACACACGAGGATTTTTTCATTGGCACCTGTAAAATTCCATGTAGAAATGGTTGCTGGTTATGCCTATAAAATCAATAGCAGTCATGTTGATGGACTGCTGACACTGGTGCATCTCTCACTGCCCAGTGTCAGTTTGGTCTGCCCTTGACACACTCACATGCTGCACCCATTTCTAGCCTGAAAGATGAGTGGAGACAGATTCTCTTGTCAGCATAGCAAGGGCTGCTAGAGAGCAAAACCAGGTACTGCAGGTATCCCACGTGTGTGACTGCACAGGAACCTCCAGAAGCAACAGCAGCTGGGAGCTGCAATCCCTTCAAAGCTGTGCAGCTGTCAGCAAAGTGGCAATATGGTGACACTGTGCACGTGTGCTCTGAGTCCTTGGAGGTGCAGGTACCTTTCTGTTCTCTCCTTGGATTGTGCTGAGTAAAACAGAGTTCAGGCTCACAGCCAAGCCCAAAGGTACTAACAGCAAAAACCCCTCTTAAATAAGCAGGGCTGGGATTTGACTTCAAATCTTGTAGGAGTATCCTAACCAGAAGGTAAATGTTTATTTTTAGAGCCCTGTTATCTTTACTGTTCCACTTAGGTTTTTAATGAAGTTTTTGACAGAAAATCACTTCACTTGAAATATTGCTTGCAAAAGCTAATGTGCCACACTCCATTAGGTTAAATAAATATTAATAATAAATATTTTGTGTCACCAACTTTGTAGGAAATATAGTGATACCTGAATAAATAAATAAATTTTTGAATTTTTTGAGTAAAAAACTTTGAAGAAGTTTACTAATGAAATTTACACTCTTATCTGCTGCTGTGGTGAGGAAGACAGCAATGCCTTGGTTTTCTTTCTCCCACAGAAATAACAGGTATGTGGAAATGGCATTTTTCTGAACAGAAATAACATAGAAAGGATTTCTGCACATCTGCCTTGTTCTGCAATGTGGTCTTCCATTAAAAAAAAAAATGTTTTAATTTCTGAAGCAACATAACATCATGACTGGAGCACCATCTACTATTTTAACTGTTAATTTTACTGATACATAAGTGTAAAGCACATTTATAAACACTTGGGGATATCTGGCTGACAAATAAACAACTGTTGTATAAGTTTGACACTAAAAAATTTAATTTAGAAACTATGAGGTAAAGACTAATGTTCCAGGGGTTGTGGAATATAAGATTTATTTTCATGTACTTGCTGTTTTATGCCTTCAGGCACCACTTTTAATAGGAAATAAGACATTCAGCAAACTGTTCCCACTCAAAAATCAAGTTTCATGTTCAGAGCAATTTATAAATTTTCTGTAACTTCAGTCCAAGAATATCAATCTGAAGTGCATATGATCAGCTTAACAGTCTGCAGGACAAAATTTGTTGTGCTGTTATGTATAATACTTAAGGTGATAAAACCACAAGAGTTATTTGTATTTTATATCAGAAAAACTGTTTGAATAAGGCAACTGAGAGTGTTAAAATTGTCTCTTTACCACAATGAATTGTCAATGGCAACGTGTGAATACTTTGAGGAAAACAAAAGGTTTATGTCATTACATTGCAGGCTCTTCTAATTGCTCACTGATTTTATCTGTAATATAACAAGAGCAACCAGAATTCTGAGTTGGGAAAACTGCAGTGCTATAAGTGATAACAAACCTGGAGTTACAACCCACAGAACAGATCAGAGAACATTGTATGTAAGTAGTGGATTTATTTCTAGCTACCTATTGAATTACAGCACTGAACCCTCCAGAAATTCTGTACATCATTTCATCCCCAGTCTGGGCTCTATGCAAATTTAAAAAAAAAATAGTTTTAGTTTTTCATTTCAAGGCCATGAACACAGTTAAAGCTTCGTGTTGGGATTAACAGGCCATCTCTGCATGTATGTGGGTAAGTACAGGCTTTGGGGGCAGGGGCAGGTGAATCACTGCATCCTAAGGAAACAATCTTACACTACAGCATTAATACGTTTAAGTATTTCAAGGAAATAAGCTTTAGGTGCTACATATTGTAACAGATTGGAATGTGTAGACTTACAGTATTAGATGGTCATAATCCCCCCAGTGCAAGGCTGATTGCAGGGGTAGCAAGAGTTGGCTAATCCTTTTGGGCCAATGGCATAAAACAAGGATTAGTTTTTCATTTACTGCAACTGAGTGGGTCATTAGGATCCAAAGACACTAATGAGCCTGAACAGGCAATTGGATTCTGGTTTCAGAGTTATGGGCTAGTTTGAAAGGAGATTGATTGTGTCTTTTAATGATTTCAAACATGATGTCTTGGTGACCTTTTGCCTGAGAAAAATGAATGAAGGATATATCCTTGGAACACAAACCTGGAATGCTGACTTCTTTCCTCCTGAAACTTGAGTTGTTGCCAGATTCATTGCCTTAGAGGCTGAATGGCTCATTTAGAAATATCTCTGTTGCCTTGCTTTTATGTTCTGCTCTTGATGTCTCCAGAGTTGACACAAGTCACATGCAATCAAGTCTGTATTCCTGGTGGACAGGCACTGTCCTAATATTCTCTGACTCACACCCAGGTTGTTTGCAGCTCAGCAGTTCTGCTTCCAGACACATCACTTTGTGTTCTGATGCTAACATCTTGCTGAGAAATTGCCTCTTGGCACATTGTTTCTTGGATCCTGTACCTTGCTTGATTTGGTGTGAAGATGATGCTCTTTTTAGCACATGCAACACCTTACTTTTGGAAAGGTAAATCTTTCCCCCCACCTTGCTACATCCCAGACTTTTTTGTTTCCATGGATCACTTGAATTCAGCAATAATAGATAGCTTCTCTTTGGTTTCATTCAATTTAAGCAAGGGTATGAAAGAATATCAAAAGATGGCCATTACCATGCTAATAGAATATTTAGACATAAACAAAAAAAAATACTTTGACTGTTATGACTCTATAGGAGAAATAGTGTCAAAACTTTTAATAACATGAACTTAATTCTCTGTATCATACCACAGTCCACAAAGCATACACAAAATTATTTCATACAGTGCAGGACTTGATCCACAATCCTTTGAGGCTTGGCTTGGGGAAAGGAAAGAAGTAGAGGATCAAGTTACAAAAAGT